ATCCACGAATGGCCGCTTTCCAAATCCGGCTCCGTCTGGCAACGCCCTGCAAACAGATCGGTGCCACGTTTAAGTTTATTACGTGAGCTAATTAGCATGACTGTGTAGGTGCATGGAATGCACTGGGAGGAGAGGAAGAGCACAAGTGTACTGAATGCCGTTATATAATTTGTTTTGGGGACACGCTTATTAAAGACAGACCTGGGTCACACTCGGTATGCTCTTCAGCAGGAGCTGGGGAGCGAGCTGTCAGGCTGGGAAGAAATGACATCTGAGAAGAGGAAGGCTTGAATGCCACCTTATTTTTTAACTTAGAAATACAACTTCTTTTCCTATACTCACATTTGTTGCTTTTTCCCCCAGATGAAATAATTCATGAAGAAATGAATGGCTCAAAGCAAGGGCTGAATTCGTGTCAGCCTCCCTGTGACACTCATCGCCTGGAGGGGAAAGAAGTACAACTTCTAGTTATTAGCAAGCAAATATGGATAGCTGACCCTTCTGGCCATGAGAAAGGCATCAGGGTGTCTATCGGAAGCACTCTGCCAGCACAGGGATCAGAGCCATGCTTTGTGTTATTAAGACATTCACACTGCCCTACCCAGATTAAACGGAGGGCTAAATAACAAAGCCATTAGGCTTTCTTTCTTCTTTCTGCATGCATGAAATTACATTTTAAAGCTACATCTGATCTCTGGGAGTCTCTAAAGGGGTCAGGCACTAGCGCATCTGGCATGCCGATATGTTCATTCAGGAACATGAAGTCATCCTCCAAGTCGCATTCCTGAGTCAATTACATGTAATTTTCCACATGTCACTTCAGCGACTTGCACACTGAACAGAGGTTAATATTAATTTAGTAGAAGCTTGTGCATATTTAACAGAATCAAAAGCCTTGCTAATTGTGTTTTAATTAAACAAGAAGTGGAAGACTATTTGATAGAAAGGGTCCACACTGTTGGAAGGAACACACACCACACAGCCCACTGCATCGTGCCATAAATCAGCTCGGTGCCAAATCCCACCCAACAGGGTGAGTTAGAGGGATAGGGTCAACGGTAAAATCACCACTTGCTAAAACTGTCACTCTGCCTTCCCTGCTGTCCAGAGGGACACGAACACCACAGTGACCTGAGGGGCCACCACTGTACTCCCAAAGCATGACCAACCCATCCAATCATAGAATCATAGAATCACCAAGGTTGGAAAAGACCTAAAAGATCACCCAGTCCAACTGTTCACCTATTCCTAATAGCTCCCACTAAATCATTCCCTCAACACAACATCCAGCCTTTCCTTGAACACCCCCAGGGTCGGTGACTCCACCATCTCCCTGGGCAGTCCATTCCAGTGCCTGACCACCCTTTCTGAAAAGTAATACTTCCTCATGTCCAAGTACCACTGCAGATCCTGTGGGAGAAGCAAGGACGTGTCCCAGGGCATGGGGTGGGAGCTGATGGCTGATGGCAGAGCTCCAAAGGGGCTGCGGGTCCAAAATGAGTTTGGTGGTTATCAGTGACGTGCCTTGAGGATGGCATATGATGAGGTATACAGGACAAGTATAGCTAGGGATTCTGTCTGATGAGCACTGGGAGGCACCCAGCCCTAATCCCTGGGAAATGAAAGGCCTTCCTGCCTCTGTCCTGACAGACAGAGGGGTCTGACCTCGTGGGAAGGAGGAGGAGTTCAGGAATCATGGGATGAGCTAAAAGTGAAGTGCAACAGTTCTCATTTGTGTATATGTACATCTATATATACACATATATATACTTAAGTATATTCCTGAGAGTGAAGAGGCCTTACTGAATACGCTGTAATAACTTCAGTAACATCTGAAGATAAACAGAATCGTGCTCTATGTGGCCAGGTAAGCAGTTCTCACATGCCGTGACCAAGGTCTCCAAGGAGTTTCTGGTTATTAGGGAACATCCCTGCCTCCCTTGCTGTGAATCCAGCAGACAGAGGCTCACAGTGACAACAAAGAACTTGTATGAATTTATGAAATTACCAAATGAATATTTATTACCTTTGGGATTGTAAGCATTTTATTTCTGAATTTTTTGCTTTTTGCCCTGTTTTTTGCTTTTTTTTCCCTCTTTTTCTCTTCTGGTTTGTTGGATAAAATGTTGCCAGTCCTATTTGGAATGAAGCTTTGGCAAGCAGGAAAAAGCTTTATCAAAGGGAAGATGTCAGTGATATTACAGAGACTTAAAAAAGTCAGCTACATCTGAATTACTTATTTCCTAGCTCCTCTGAGGTCTTTTTAAAGTGATAAATGCATAGAATTACATGAAACTGAAGTGAGAGGCTGCTGGAGGCTCTTGATTAGCTCTAATTTGCAGTAAATATTTGTGTATTTATTATTATAATGACCTGCTGAGTTTTGATTTCCCTTTACAGAGAAAACCCAAATTTTCTCATTCTGAACCGAATCTGGATTATTAAAACAGTGTAAGTGTAAATTAACATCCCAAGGCTATGCTGGCACGACTGAGATCGCTGTTTAGCTCTTTGCTTTGTTTCATTTCCCGAGCTTTTGTGTTTCCTAAGCTACGTTTTACATGATGCAATGAGACAAGCACAGCAAGTTTCAGAGAGCAAAAGTTCAGGTAGCCACAGGCTGTGAAATTCCCATCCTCCCCGTGAGCAGACACATGCCTGCACCTCCTATGGGAGTGCTGGGAGAGCACAGACCAGGATTTGGAGACAAGGCCCTGGGGTCCTAGCCAATGAAGCTCTGAGCTGGGTCAGAAAGGGGCTGGAGAAAGGGTGAGTTGTGTCCCCAAGCCCCAGTGGTGGGAGGGCAAGACCTCTAGGCAATTCTTAGTGTTGTTGCAGTCTTCTTGTGATTTGAATGGTGACGATTTAGCCATGGAGTTTTACACCCATTTATTCCCATCAGTGTGGCTGGTAAACCATGCACCAGTTTATTTTCCTCCTGACCCAGAAGGAGAGAGAAAGTAACGACAGCTTTTTCATTTCTGACATTCCTGATGGGCTCAGACCAAGGATTTGACAACAGTACTTTATGCCCTCCCTACCCTTCCATCAACCTCAGGATGTTTATTTTTCTTCAAACATTGCTGTTTGCAGCTTGCTAGCAAGAACTGAAGATCTATTAACACCGCTATTTGTTTACCAAAGACATCAAAGCCTTCTTTTTCCACAAACCAAAGCCTGCTTTGAGTCTGCGCGACCCGCAAACAGCCCCGCAAACCAAGGTGTGCTTTGTGCAGAGCAGAAGAAAAAAACCCGGAGTGTTGAAGATAGAGACATTTTCCTATCTAAGGTTCTAAATTTAGCTCTGCTGCATTTCTCAGCTTCTCAGGCTGTTTGCTCCTAACCAAGAGCCCCACCGTCTCAGAAGATCTCTTTGCCGACCTCACTCTGGGTGGAGGAATAGCACGACAAACGTGGCCAGCAGCAGCGATAGCAGCTGATCTGAAGCAAATATTTTCTAACATCTACAAGAAGATTCATCTCCTCATTTTGCTTTGGCAGTCACGATGCTTTGTCACACTAGCAGAATGCAACGCCCTGACGGCTGATGCCAGCCCTTATGCAGCAGCAGCGACAGATGTTGACAATTAATTAGATAACAATAACAAATATCTGCTGAGAATAATGTCCTAAGACATACTGGGGCATACTTTTAAATGACTTTCCTAGATGTGTCGAGGCTATTTAAGGCCAAACTCCCACTCCTTATAGTGCAATTAAGATTATTCCTCATATGAAAGATAAGGCAGTGTAAACACGGTCATTTGCACATCACTGCTATTTGCAGTCGTGCTTTGAGTATTGCCCAGCTCCAAATGTGTGTGCACCACCCAGAGCCCCATGGCAGTGTTCAGAGTGCATTAATTATTGGCAGAACACTGCACCAGGAGACATCTCTTCAGGGAACAACTGAAAGCCTCTCCATGAAAAATCACCGTCAAGAGTGGCACCAACAGAACAGCTCCTCAGGAGCCACTCAGCCAGTTGGATGCTGGCACAGAGAAGAAGAGAACAAGAAGAAAGACAGGAGAGGGACTCACCGATAAGGTTTCCACCCACAAGTGGTGCAGCAAAAGAGGCTGCAGATCTGTGGATCACAGCTGCTACAACCACTTCCCTCAACTTCAGGTGCTGCCCAGCTTGGGTCTGATGTCTGGCTAGGCAAGGCAGGGCCCCCGGCCTCCCAAGGGGGAGGAGGGAAAGGAGCAGAAGTTCTCCAGCCCTGAGGTCCCCCCAGGCTGAGAAATGCAACACGGACCCCTTGGAACACAGTCAGCCTGTGCCTCCAGTCTCACGATTCAGGTGACCCCTGCAAGAACCCTTTCATGGTCTCACCTTGAGGAATATAACAAAATGGCAAAGCTGCTTTAAAAAAAAAAAAAACAAAAAAAACAAAAAACCATTAAGCACATCCAACTTTGGGATAGAGAATAAAATTTCTTGCCAGAGAATTTAAAACAAACTGGAAACTGATCATCTACTCATTTAAATGATGGGCCTGGAGCTAAACCAGCAATGCTGAATAATCTGTGTTGCTTTCATCCTTCTTCAGTTTTTCCTTTGTTCCACGAGCCACATGTGCACTAAGTGTGAATTGAAGGGCTCTTAGCTGGAAAAGCAGATTGCGAGAAGGGCTTGGTCCTCATCTTATAATTCAGCTTTTGCGTTACAATTACTCTTAATAGCACTCTTATTTTGTTGTATTATTTATCCTGGCTAGAACCCTCTAGGATCCCTTGAAGGCTTTTTTTTTCCTGGTGGATCTAGCCAACATCCAGTCATGAATCCAGATGTTTCTGCTTTTATCCGCGGGAATTTTATGGTATGGATATGCCAAGACTATAACTGCAGGCTCAGCCTCAAGAACAGTATTCTTCAAATTCCCTAAATCATAAATGGAAAGTGCCGTGAATAAACCTAGATCCTGATGCAATTAATGTGCCAGAAGGGAAACCAAACCACAGGACTCTATTGCTCAAGGTCCTGGATCAGTGTCTGTAGTCTGCTACGTTGCAGCAGAAGGCACAGTCCAGATCGTGCTGTTTTCTGTGTTCTCGTAGACAGACTCTTGCTTTTAGCACATCTTCAGTTCTTCTTTCCATTCGCCACCCTGAAATGAGGAGCTAAGTTACATGTGGGCCCAAGATGCTTACGCTGTGAAAAAGATCACTCACTGGAAGCTAGAGTCATTGCTGGGGCATTTAAATGAATGAAAGTGTGCCTGTCTATGTCTGCTCGTAAAAAAGTACAGACACTCATCCACATTCTTAACTGGTTCTGAAATAAAGGCAGGGATGAAACCTACCCTGCCCTGATGGAGACCTGGTGAGTAAGGCAAATCTCTGCCGTGCTTCTGACAGCACCTTGGACAAATAACTGAATCCAAACACGTTGCTTATGTGGAGTGATGACAGAGTGAAGCAGACCTTAAAATAACCTTGCTGTGCTGCCTGAGGTTCCCTCTGGGCTCTCCCATCTCTCCCACCTTGGCATTTATCCTTGCTCCCTGGGTTTGTCAGGGCAAGAGCCCCAAGCCCAGTCAGTGTTGGCAGTCAGTGCCAGCATGGTGGCTCTGCTGACGTCCCCCACTGGAGGTGGCCGTTCCTTTCAAGTGCCTCAAGGTAGTTCAGGGGCAGCACGTGGAGAGGCATTTTCATTGGCCTGCTCCATCATCAGCCCTCATGTGTAACTGCCTGCTTCCTCTGAGGGCTGTTCTTGCTGGTATCCTCATCCAAAAGGCTGATGGGATGGACGTGGAGATGCTGTTATTCTATGTGCTGTCACACAGGAGGCAGTAGGGGAACAACAGACTTAATGTCAACAAGGCAACCAAAAGGAAAAGCACTTTTCCTGCTAATATTGTGGATCAAATACATTGTACAGGGCTTCCGGGGGTGCACATTAACAGTCCTAGCAGCACAGTGGTTCTGCCAGTTCCTATCACATTTTCTGTTTAATAATTAGGAACTTTGTTAGTAGTCAAGCATGTAGCTTAAGCTCAGAAGGCCACCCACTGTACTTACATGCTCTGTGACAACTGCTAAAATAAAAGCATTCCCATTTATCCTTCCAGTATGTTAGTAAGAAGTTCTCACTTCTGACTTCGCCTTCCCTACAAGAACAAAAAAAAGGAACATTTTTCATTAATAAGTTCAGGACACTTAATCTTCTAAGTTCTCCTTACCATCACTTCTCTTTTTGGACACGCATAAAGGAGACTGAAAACAATTTTTCTTTTTCCAAGCTAGAAACAAAGAAATACAAGAATGCTGAGCTTAAAAGTTCAAGGTCACAGAAATGATAAAACACTTTTGCCTCCATTTCAGTGGGGGCAGTTTTGCCTCGGGCATGCTGAGCATCACAGGAGCCTCACTGCAGCTTGCAGTTGCCATTGCATCTCTTCTCCTGGGCCTATACTGTAAGTGCTTGTTCACTTGGACTAACTGCATGGCTACACGGCCCTGTTCCCTTTCCCCTCTGCAGGCTTCTCACATCTCCCCAAAGATCCAGCACACTGAGTGGTACCACCTGGCCCTGCAAACACCTGACCTGTGTTCAAATTCACCCATGTTCTATACATCTTCTGCTCCAGGTGAGTCTGATCCAGCTGTGACACTTCAACACAATCATGGGTTGGGATAGGGAAGTTGCCACTGCCAGTGGGGATGCAGAAGGACATATTTTGGATGCACTCACACCACATCCATGCTCCAGTGTCAACCTTGAAGCCACGTGCCTCATTCCATGTTTAAATCACATCATGAAGTTGCAACATGGCCCTTTTTACCCTTGATATCCCACCATCATTCCAACTAAAAGGGCAAACTTGCAGTGCACATAGTCAAGGCCTCTGATTTTAAAGGCTGATCAAAACTTTAAAAAGCTATACAGTTCTACAGTTTGCTTTTAGCTATTAAAGGAAGCAGAACCTGAAGGTTTGCCTTGCTGCTCTTCAACTGTGAATACTGCACTGGTATTAACATGCAGTTAAAGACCACAGGGGCACAGCTGCACTTCGCAAACAAAAGAGGTGAGAGCCCCTCACAGCTCAGTGATCAGGCATGGCAGCATCACCCTGACAACGTGAGAGGAGGGGAGGAGGTGGATGGACAGGAGTTAGGGCAGCCCAGAGTAGAACCAGTCCCCATCTCAGCAGCTGGAGGCCTCGCTGCTGCTCCAGACATCTCTAAACCTCACTCTGCTGAGGAAAGCATCACCTTTCTCACCTGCAGGAATCCTCTGGGGCTTCTTTCCCTCTTTAACTTTTGTTTGGAGCCAGTCCTGAATCCACTCACATAGCGGTTTCCACGACTACAGTCCAGAAGTAAGCTTCTCTGGGGCAGCAGAAGGATCTGCAGTCAGAGCACTGCTGCTGCCCACTACATTGCAGCCACCCTCTGGGGGCACAGCCCTGCCCACCTCAGTGCCGTTGGTACTGACTGAGCGGTGCCCAGGCAATGGCACACACTGGGCCATAACACCAGCTTGTGAGGGGCTGGAAGGGACAGAATTGCTTGCACAAAGGGTTGGACAGCTGTCGGATTTAGTAATCCTCTCAGATTTATTAATGTTATGAATAATTTTCATGCCCTGCCTGGTATTTCCCAGAGGGTATGAAGTGATCCTTTGTTAAGAGCACAGCCACTGCTCTGCTTCCAATCTGCAGGGTTTCTCTTCCTGCCCTGCACTGTCACCACCCATAGACCCTGCCAGCAAAGTCCTACAACTGCTGAATGCTCTGCCCTGACCCAATGGTCCCACAGAGCCCAGGAGCACCGCTCCTCACAGGGTATCCAGCAGCAAACCCAGCTGAGGCCATTCCAAACCCCATTCCTTCCCTGCAGAGCTTCTGCTTGCCCTCAGACACAGATTGATGAGGGCCCAAAAGTTTTGTTGTGATGCTACAAGCAGCACCAGAACAGCGAGACCAGGTCTTTGCTAGATGGCTCTAAGAACCCAACCAGAGAAGCTAGGAAGCAAGACTGAGGAGGGAGCATGGCTGTCTGCCAGCCTGACAATGGGGTTTTACTTAACAAACACAGTTTAAGTGTGGAAATCAAATATGAAGCAGTCGTAGCCAGCATTGTCTGCATTCCTGGAGTGGCACTGAACTAGCAGGGAGAAAAGCAGCGAGACACTGGCCCAGACATGCTCCAGCTGTCTGAGACTACCTCTGCCCTCCTCCGCTCAATGCAGCCATTCAGCTTGTTTTCATTTCATTACTGGATGTTATTTTTGCAACCTGGGAAAAGAATAGAAAAGGGGAAAAGGTCCTTAAAACGCTTTGGGTTTATTTTTTAAGAACTAGCTCATTTCTTCCCTTTTTATCAGAGATAAAGTGCAGACTAAGAAGTGCACGAGGCCTGTAGTGCTGCTAGCCAGGCCCTTGTTGCTCCAACACAGCCCTTTATCTCATGGGCAGCAGCATTCACATTGCTGTGGTTGTTCACGCAACTTGCACTCGTTTAGCACTGAGCAGCATGCAATTAAATAGCCATGAAAACACCCACAGAACGAGCAACAGCTGCCTACAGGTAACCTTACATTGCGTGCACTCACTTGCCAAATATCGCAGCTCGCCCCATATAAATTCCCATTTGCACACAGAGCAGAGCAGGCCCCTTTCCCCATCATCATGGCCAGCTGAACAGCTGGCACCCCTTCCCCAGCCATTAATGGCTTGGTTAAAGGCCTGACGCTGCGAATCACGGCTAGCAGGAGTGCTGCTCCATCAGCTGAGGGCTCAGCCCTTCCCCACTTCCCTTCTCTCCCTTCTCAAGAGTAGAGCCTATCCATTTTTAATATTAAGGAGAATTTGCATCCAAGATCTGATTATTTATCTCTCCTCTTTGTGCCATTTTGCTTTATAGGGAAATGCCAGAGTGCACCGCTCACCCGTCCAGCTGGGGACACTTCACCCCATGAAAAAGAACAACACTTGCCAAACCAAGGGCCAGGATTATGCTGCTTCCCTCTGAGAAGAGTGGGAATGCTATCAGTTTGTACTGCACTTTTCTGGGAAAATCCCTGTTTTCATACTGATATCCTTCAGCACAGCAGTAAGTTCTCAGTGGTGCTTCACTTTCCTTCTTGGAAAGGGAGAAAGAGCATTCAGAGCGTTTTAACATCTCATGCATCTTCCTCTTGGGGACAAAGCCACATATTAAACCAGAACCTGTTTTAGCTTTCGCAAACTTCTGGATTATTCCTGGCAAGAGAAGGTCAGACGTGCTTTTATCCAAATTCTCTCTCTCCAAGCATTGCTGTAACTATATCCAAAATAGTTAATTTTTCATTTGGACACTTCAAGGTCCAAAAGATTGAGGTGCACATAAAATAACCACTCACTACCCCTAGATCTGCTCACTGCTTTTACTAGTGAGCAACATTGCTCTAAGGTACAAACTGCTTCAGTCAAATTCTTATTTTGACCAGCTTAGCAAGAGAAGAATCCTTCCTGCCTTCTTCTCCAGCACAGTCCATCCAGACATCACGCTGCTCCCCAGTGCACTGAGCCAACCTGCCTGAGTGTTTTAAAGTGAGCTGGTCAGAAGACAGGAAAGGAATTTCTCCTGAAGTTGTTCTTGAAGTTATGAATACCATTCAAATTAGATTATTTCCTCTCTCATCCTGACTTTTGCCTTTTAGTAGTTTTTAATTTTATTTCATGAAGATCTATTCTCATATTGGGACCTAATTTCCATTCATTAAGCAGTGAGTTTCATAAGTCTCTCCAAATCCAGAAACCCTAAACACACAGTCAACACCAAGCTTATGAACAATTCCATTTACCTTAGTGTGAGTGCTTATCTCCAAGCATGTGCTTAAGTGGTTTGCTGGCAAAGGCTAGAGCACCTATTTCTTTCCAGATGACCCCATTAATATTTACCGATATTAATCTGCTCAATAACCACAAACACCAGAAAAAGCAGTGAATTAGCTCTACAAAGAGCTTTTCCAAATATTACCAGATTACCTAGGGGGGGTCAAACTGCTTCACACTCACATGATCTGAAGGGAGCCAGGGTTGGTTGACCCAATATCCCAGCAACCAGTGGAAGAGCATTGATTGATTTTACCCATCTGGGTGTGCGATCCTGCATCAACAGAAACACCTTTCAGTTTGGCACCACAATAAATAGGAATAACAAAAGCTTTATGCTGACATTAAGAAAGTTTGCTTTATGTATTGACATCCTGTTAGCCTCCAGCGCTCTTAAAAGAAGCTGTTAATTTAAAAATGCAACAGAAAGATAAGCCAAAAACTTGTGATGATAGAAATCTGCAAGCCTAACGTCAGTCTTAACACCTGCACACGCAGTGACTGTAGGGAGCTTTGTGCAGAATGTAAGTTTAAATAATTTACCTGTGAAAAGGAAAGCAATTTCAAATAAAATTAGTAGGAGCCAATACAGACTCTAGCTATAGTCCTTGGTAGAGGCCTCAACCTTGAAAGCTCCGCAAGTTGGAGCACCTACCTTCCATGCATATTGGAGACCCGTGCCAAAGTCTTTCTTGCATCTTACAACATCACTCTCCATGTAGTTACCAACAGTGGGCCAAGCCTTAACTTTGACTTTCCTGTAAAACAGCCCACCATTGCACTCATTCATTCTCCCCAGATCTCCAACACAGCTGTTGCTGCTCCTCCCCCTAGCTTATTCCCTGCTCTTCAGCCTGTGGCTCAGTCAGCATCATTTTTTAGTTCCTTATCCTGCTGCTCACATTTTTCATCCACCAGCTCCTAACAAGAAATGGAAAGTTCCTTGCTGCCTCAGCCAACCTAGCCTCCTGAAGTCTTTCTGCCCAGAGAGACAATAACTGAGGTCCAAGCCAAGATACTATCTCTTCCAGACCAGGGAAGTCTGGCAACCCTGATAGCTAATGACCTACGTAAGTATGTTACGATTTCACTTTTCATGATTCAACTGGTTTCTTACCTCCATGGAAATACTATATAGTATTGATGTAAACAGTGTTACTCAATTTTGGAAATGTTAATGCTGTTTTCAGTGGTCTTGATTAACCAGCCTTGAACTACCACTTGATGAAGCTTGGACATACTTGAAGATTTCTATCAAAATAGTTTGGAATAATTTGAGTCTTTTCAGAAAACAGTCACTTCTGAGCTCAGGTTCCTCCTCTCACCTGGCTGCATTTGTTGCAGGTGTCCATCAGCACACAGAGCAGACAGCAGAATTAAAGCCTAAACCCGTAATCACCAGTCAGGCAAAATTACAGTGGGTGGTGAGTGCTTCACAGCAGGTAATCAGCTCTCTCCTGTCCCATCACCTGTTTCATCTCTTGGTCTTCTAGTCAACAACTACTAGCATGAACAGCAAGCATATGAGTATTTTTGCTAGGAGTGATATAATTTCTATTTCAGTTCAGTGCACTTCCTTACTGAGCCATCACTGCCTGCAAGTGAAGCAATGCTGATTAACACTGCAGCACATCTAATGAAGATTTTGCTACAGCAACTCCAGTCAACACTGCCAAGCTGCCAGCTCTTCAAAGCCATGATGCCACCTTAACGGGTGAAATCGGGATCTAATCAGTGCTACAGCACCAAGGCACAGCTATTCTATGACTGTAAGTTAATTCTAGCACTAGATATGTTACTCTCACCAAAATCCTGTTCACTGTACCAGGAGGAGAGCTCAGGCAGCAGCACCCCAGCCTGCCCTGCCCACCCTTGCACCCTTGGGCTGTTTGCTTTACATGGTTTCTCAGGTTTTTCTTTTGATCACTTTGAAAATCAGACATCAATCTTACTGTGCAGGTACTAATAACCAAGAAGAAGGCATTATTGAAGTCCCCTCAACCTTTTCCTCCCCAGGACACCTGCTTTTGATTTATTATTGACCAACTCCTTCCTGCTTTGTTTTAACATCCAACTCTATTGCAAATGCCGGTCAGCAGTAAGGATCTTTTGCCTTCAGGTCAGTTTAGGCTGAAGTCAAACCACATGAAAGGAAGCAGTGTTCGCCTACTTTTACAGCTATACAAAAGTTGCCATCTGATATGATAAAAACAATTTTTTTTTTTTAACTGGTTCTTAATTGTTCCTGGATCATTTCCAGTTATCTATAAGTGAGCGTGGCAAACTATGTGGAATACTGCAAAAGAAATGAAAAAAAGCTTTATTGGCCAAGATCAAAGAAAAGTAAATCACTGTGTTTTCTTAAATCATACCCTTCCTTTGAAGGCAACAGCTGATGAAACTGATGCTTGAAGCACCTTTGAATCAAGAGTTATACACTCAGAATAAATTTCCTCACTGCCAATATCACACATCTTCTGAAAACTCTTTCCATTACTGTAATTCCTCTGTTGTCTGAACAGGCTTCCAGGAAAAAAACACATCTCCTGCACAGGCTGATTAAATAATCAATTTGCAAAGGTGGAATATGATTCTCTTCCCCTGAAAGTACAAATGAGAAACATCCCAGTCCACTTTGCCTCCAGTTTAGCCAATGCCCAGCCCATTTATGGGAGCTCAGACCCAGAATACGACTCAGACAGCCACATGGCCAACACCATTACCTGGCTGCTGGATGCCAGCCTCCTAGGATACGTCCCCTTCCACACCGGTGGTGTAAAGCTGCTGGAGCATCCAGCTATGTATGGAGTTTAATACCTCACAGAGGGTCCAGAGCCCCAGATTTTGAGCTTATGAAACAAGACCAAAGAAGAGCGTGAGTCAGGAAAAGAAGAAACTGTGCATCTCCACTACCTTATGCTTTCACCTTCACCCCTCCCTCAGCACTAGGTGAGTAAAGAGTGAGCTTCCTGAGGGGACCAGGTCAGTCCCAGTCACAAACCCCTGCTGCCCATCCAACCCTGGTGAGGCAATGCAGCTCCCTAAGCCACCCCAGCTACCCAGCCCATGACCCCCGCCCACACTGCCAGCTGCAGAGCAAAGGTACAAGGCATGCATGTAGTGGTAGACCAGCTCCAAGGCAAGCTTGGCTAGTGCAAAGATTACGAGGAGCTAGGCAAACAACAAATACTCAAGCATATTTTCCTACCTATGTGGGATTAAAGTCCCTCTCTACACCTAATCCACTGCTCTGAAGCTCGTTCCTCACTCTGCAGGCAGGAGATGCCTGTGAGAACACTCCTCCCTCACCTCCTTTCTCTTTAAAAATATCACATCCTCCACATTCCTCTCAGTTCCTTCCTAAAAAACTGAGGAGGAACACCTCCCCTCCCCCCCCCCCCCTTTTTTTTTGGAAGAAAAAAAAGACAACAGCTTCTGAACCCAGCACCCAGTGAGCCGGAACAAGGCGCACAGAGCTGCCTGGCTCTCATAAACAAGGCATAGTAATGCTTTTGCCACCCCCATGCCAGGCCCAAATCTCTCTTCTCCTTCTGTCTCCAGGGAGCACAAAGAACGGAAAAACAAGCCCCAGGCCCCAAATGGAGTTTGGCACAGTTGCACACACTCCTGTTGCTCACCTCTGCCAAGTGCAAGCTCCCGGATTATCACAGCTTATTTCCCAGGAGAAGGCTCACAGCAGAAGACCTAACCTACATTTGTGTTTGTTTTATGGAGTGTGACATTGTTGCTTTGTTCCCCGGGTGGAGGCTTATTTTTGCAGGGAACGTGCAAGTCTTTCCTTTAGTTCCCCCACCTCTCACAGCTATAAACTCAGTAGGCATGCTTCAGTCTTACCTTCAGGTGGTAAGTATTATGGACTGGCTGCAGTCAAATAGAGCAGAGCAGTAGAAAATCCTCCGATAAATCCTCAGCATCAAACATACGCATCCACTAAGGGCCACTGAAAGAGATTTGCTTGGAAAAAATGAATATATATGGATGTATTACATTTTATTAGTCTACACATACCAAAAAAGGTGCCAAAAATACTTAATTTCTAAAAGCAGATGTGCAGAAATAGCAGTGTTGAAGGACTCCCCCAGATAATGACATGGATGCCTTAAAAAACCCACAATGAAAAGTGAAATGGCACTCTTCACATGCCAAGCTCTCATCGTTAACTACCAACTTCACAGCACTATTAAAGCAGTTCTCCATCATCACAGCCAGGTGAACAGCTGGCACCTCTTCCCCAGAGGGGAAGTTTTCAGAGGCTGAGGGATTCTTATGGAGAGTAAATACTAATAGCTTGTTAATTCTGAGTTTTGCTCTAGGCTCCAATTAACAGCAGTGAGAAGGGAATCATAGGTGACATTCATTTACACTGTTTCTGTCTAGTCATGATTTTAGGGGACGACACATCTAAAGATATCAGCCAAAGTCAGAGGGTTCTGAATTGGATTTTGGGACACTATTAATAATACATTAGGGAAAAACTTTGAGATGAATTTCAGCTTCAAATCTATTTCCACTCCTCCTGTCCACGTGAGTGTTATCCATCCATTTCATTACAACTCAGGAGAAAGTACCATCTTCATTTCCCCTCCTTTCTGCTCCACAGCGCCTGGTCAAATCCTCCCCAGGTGATTCAGTCCAGGGACAAGTAGATGATGGAGCAGCTGCATGACACTGCCTACACCAGGAGCAATGGTGGCAGCTGAGCCAACTCACAGCTCACTGAGTCAGAGGGGAAGATCTCTCAGCTCCTTGGAAGGTCCACAAAACACACCAGCTTGTGTCCCACATCTGGAACAAAGATGATGGCTCTCTGCTGCTGGATCCCTGTTCAGTTCAGTGCTAAGCGTGCTGAGCCATTAGGCTGGTGGGACTCACAGGTCTCATCCAGGCTGTGAAATGGAGCTGCGTGGATGTGCCTGACTGCACCAGTACTCCCTGGACACAGTTGAAGTGTAAGCTGTGTTGTGCTGGGAATTACTATATTGTTACTTGTTCCCTTGATACCATTAACTCCAAAGCATGGATACAGCCAGGGAAATGCTTGAATAATCCAGATGCATTTGTCATCCCTAATGTGTATTCCTTCTTCCTTCCCACCCCCTCCCAAAAAAAAAAATATTACTGTATGTTTTCTACAGCGGCAGCCACAATTCAGATACTTCATTAAAGAAGAGGAGGAGCTGCTTCTTTGGTGCATGGTTATGTTTTTCAGCTGAATACCTAAAAGCATGAATAGAGCACTCAGCCCTCAAGTCCCTATCATTTTCTGGAAATTATGTGAATATACTACACAGCAGGCTCCTTCCATTAAGGACTTAATAGGTATTCTAGTAAGAAATATTAAGTAGAACAATCTACATCTTGCTGCTAAAAGGCTTTAGACAAGACCATAACACAATTTTCTGAGACGTGATTCTGGTTCTCTTCCTCAGAATACCTCTCCTTTATGTACCAGAAATGAGCTTCCACATGGACAAGGAGTGGTTTAGGAAAAATAAACAGACCAGGAGGCATTTGTATGAAAAACACTTCAATAATCTAATCTCCATGGCTAATTTAAGAACTCCTAGGGAAAGGAAAGGTAGAGATATGGAATCTTAACAAGGTCAGGCCAAAAATCAACACATGATCAGCCACCAAATGCTCTCTGACTGCTTCCTGTTCATTATATGTGAAGCGTGTGACAGCTTCTCAAGAGGAGAGGCCATTACAGATATAGTAAGAACATTCCACTAAAAACCCGCTGAGCCACTCTTAAAGACTCAGTAAACAGTGAAAGCCTGGTAAAGCATTGCTAGTCATCACTAAAGCATTGCTAAGCAACCCTTTATCTTTCTTAGGACTGGGTTAGCTTCATCACAGCAATAACCAACAGTCCTCCATCCTCACTCACTACGCTTGCTTACAGTGCTAAGTAATTTCCTTTGAAATGCCAGTGAGAGCTGCCGCTCCAATTCCCAGCCCCTGCTGCCACAGAGGGAGACGGTGCTTCTGCAAGGAGCTTGTCTGCAGGCACCAGCAGCCACAGAAACCAGGCTGCAGGACATCAGCTAATTTATCCTGAAAGACACGCATTATTTGTTCACCCCGACACTTCAATTCTCTGCTGATTGACAATCAGCAGCTGATGGCCCTCACTAGCACTGATTCAGAAAGGCTCAGCCTTGTTCTAGCCTGAAGCTCAATAAGTTGCAGTCAATTTCTGCTACAGCTGTATTTATCTGCAGTAAAAACAGGAGCCAGGAAACTCCTGGGTGTAGACTCCACCAGGCCATTGCTCAACAGTTTGCTGCCAGGCATTGTCGCCATCCTCCATCTCTAATCTTTCCTACTTACATTTGCATCATCTCTGCAGGACCTCCAAACTTCTCCTTCCCTAAATGTTAGCAATAGGTCACCTACCAGAATGCATTCAAGCTAGTAACAAGCTAGTCTTCTCTAACCTCTCAGCAGCCTCCAAAGGAAGACAAGAGTTGAAAGGGACTTGATCAGCATCATCCTGATCTGAAACCCAGATTGACAGCAGGTTAGAAACCAGTGCCAGCAAGTTAAGTGAGTCTCCTAGTGCTGCCTCCCTGAGTCCCCAAGTGTTTGGGAAGTAGCACCCAAAGGCCCATTTGCTTTTCAGACTACAGCAGGAAGCTCCCAGGCACCTTAGCAGTCCTTGTCTCCATCTCAATTTCATTCTCAGATTAGCATAGACAGACTGACAACAGCTGTCCTCAGCCTACACAGTGCTTTGACAAAGGTGCACCCACTTTCATCTTCAGTCTGACAGATCTGGATTGTTACCAACCAGACCTACAGTACAGTTTTAATGAGCAGCCGTTCACACAGCTGCCTGCCTTAGCTGGTAGGACAAAAGAGCTACTAATTCTCTGTGAACTGAAGTTATTATTTACTCCAAAAATTACTGTCCATGCCTACAGAAAATACTGTTATTTGTTAACATTTCTTTGAACAGAAAAAAAGTCAGTTCCAGTAGCAGCAGACTTGGTGCTTTGAGTGAAAGTAGGGCTACAAATATAGGAATACATGCCAGAGTGACTGCCTCACAGCATAGTAGAGGTAATACTGAGGTCAGTCCCTTGTCTTTGGTTTGTAAAGAACTCAAAAAACCACATCCTTCCTTGGAGCAGGGAATTTGAGAGACAAGCTCAGCTCCAATGCATAGATGAAGAGATGCTCTTCTAGGAACAGCAGAGTTAGCATAGCATGGCATTTAGAGGAACTCCTCAATCACTCCAGCAGTTCACCTTCTGGCTCATGGAGAAGAGATGCTGTTTGAATTCCTGAGAAGAGGCACAAAAAACAAACTAGTTAGGCTTTGTCACATACCATCAGAGAGCACCCAGGGGCCCAGCTATTCCCTGATGGAAAGAATCAGGGATAACCCCACCACAGGGACTTCCTCAGTCCCACAGGACTAGAGTATGACCCCAGTCCCAACAACGGCCCCAGACACAGCAAGAGATGAGCAGACCCAGTGCCACCCTAACCAAAAGCAGAAAGACTAGAAAACAGATAAACTCCTATGCACATAAGCAAGCCTTACCAGGAGAGCCCTAACTACAGAAGAACAGCAATGAGACTACAACTAGAGGGACACAACAAGGGCTCTCGACTCTGCTTAAATAGGGCTCAGAGGGCAGGTGTGGCTGGGGCTCAGGTGAGGCTGCTCATGGCCATTAGTTGCACACGGGGCCCTTCTAAAGGCATTCATTTAAAATACAGTGCATGAAAATATACCATCTCCTTCCTGTGTGAGATTAAAAGCAGACTGTGCTTTCATATAAGGACTTTTCCTGAAATATTCCCATAATGAAGTTCTGTGGCTCCATGGCCTGCAATGTTGGCAGCCCACTGCTGGGTTACACTTTGCCCGGGCTGATGAACTCAGTGGGCTGGCAGTGGTGCTCTAGTTGTGTTTGAGCTAATTTTTGTCAGTTCCTAAGCTGTTGGTAGTACCTCAGCAAAAGCACATCAATCATTTAAGAAGTTGATCTTCTTTGCACAGCAGATCACCCAGGGCAGAGCTGAGAGGAGAAAAGTGCCTGGCTTTGGGCAGTTGGATCTGAATAAGTGTATGATAAATGTATTTTTCCTGAAATCCATCATGCATAGGCAGCATTGCCCACCCTTCCTTCCACATCTTCCCTGTCTGGGGACAAGTCTTCTTCCTTATCTCCAGCAAGTGCTCATGACATTCTCCAGATATACACATGAGGTCACATAGAGACTTTCTGGCCAAGTATGCTGCTTATCCATGAGGGTTACCCACACAGGAGGTTGGGGACATCTCCGCAGATCTGAGCCGAAGGGACAGCTTTATCTCAGCAGGAGTCACACAGACACAACACAAATGTTTGCCCTACGCTCCGCTGATGCTTAACAAGGCCCTCACAGTTTTCAAGGGAACAGATTACAGGGCGGTGCCAAAACTGGCAGCTTCCTGGAGAATCCGCAGTCGGTAACTTGATGCAGGTTGAAGGTAACCCATGGGTTGTGGTGGAACAGGAGATAAAACAGGAGAAAGAGGGGATTGAGAAAATCTCCGTGCTAAAGAAATGGTTTCTTCTGCAAAGCCAGCCTGTGGCTTTTAGAAAAATTCCCTGGTTACTAATTAAATTACTCTTACTCTTTATGTTTTCTTTTTACACACTTGCTTCTCTCTAGCATAGAGACAATGAAGAACTTTCATTTTCGAGGGAAGTTGGTGTGCCAAACTGTGAGCTCAGTGCAAGTGGTGGAAGTGCACATAAAGCATTCCCTTTGGGGAATGGGAATCGAGGGGTTCGGAAAAGAGCCCTGGTCGCACAAATGGAGTTTCATTATTTGGTATGTGAGTTCATTATAAGAGGGTTCAATTATATTTCATCAGTGAGGAGAAAACAGCCTTTTCATCCAATGTATCTAGTTGAGTTGAATGCTAAGCACATCTGACGCAGCTTTTGGAGGAAAACAAAACAGGAACAGTAGCCATGTGAAAAAAAAACAAACAAAATGACTAAGGCATCTCGGCGCCTCGGCGAGCTCTTTTCTCACGGAGCCATGGCATAAAGAAGTGAATGAAGTACAGTAGCTTAGCATGCATCGCATGAGTGTGTGCGGAGCCACTTCTGCTGATTTACTAACTCGTTTTGTTTGAGGGGCACTTGAAAGGCTTTGACATTTACAGCTCTGTAGGCAAACGTGAAAGGAAAGAATGGATTCTGTATCTTCTACCTCCCAGCTGCTGGTGAATGTCTGCTGAACAGAGCCCTGTGAGATCAGGAGGCGCTGAGCCCCGCGGCTTCCCAGGTTTGTCTATGAGTGCTTAGAGCAAACACGTCAATGCCCAGTGGGGTTCGAAATGTAAATCTACCTCTCAGAGAGATGTGAAGTCTCTCAATGGAAAGCTGCAATGCCTTGACCAAGTGTTCCCTTTAAATGCTCTGCAAACTGGGTTAAGAGAGCAGCCCAGAGCCTGTGGTCGGCAGTCGTACATGGGGTGCTGAGCCCGCACTGGGTATCCTGAGATACTGAAGGCAAAGAGGGTTTGGGATGTCTTCCCAACTGTAATTGCCAGAACAGTTTTGTTTCGGTGTGAGTCACACGCTATACAAATGTTTACTCTATGGTATGTCTCCTCTTCACAAGGGCCTCACAGATTTCGGGATGTGACACACACAGACTGCACCAGGAGCTCAATCTGGTGCAGCTTCGAGCTCTGTAGTAACTATGATATTTCTCCCAGACACAAGTGTTACATTTGTCAAACCTGAAAGCTTTCTAAATCAGTCATAGAAGCCATTTTTGATAGCGTGGGTGTTTCGAAGCACTTCAGCCTTGGCAGTGTTTGTGTCAGAGCCTCTATTACAGCATTGGTTCTTGACTCTGCCATGATGTTGCTGTTGTGACACAGTAGGACTCTGCAGTTATCTGTACATCAGTTATTCTCTGTCAGCCCTCTTTACCTGTTGGCAGGATCTGCCTGTTCCAATATCTATTAGGATTTTTCAGCTCCATGATAGGCATGGTAAAGGCTGGGGAGCAAGGGAAGGAGGAGGGTGGAGCAGGAGATGAGGGGGAAAAAGATAAGATAGCAAAGGAGTAGGAAAGACAAAAGATACATGGGGAATACAAGGATTAAGACCAGCAGGGAAATGATAACAACACTTCTCACCAGAGGGATAGGGTGGTGCTGACCATGATCATATGTAGACTGAATGTGAAATATTTGCGTTTTTTTCCTGCAGTTTTGCTCAACTGGAAACCTGAATAGAAAGTAATATGCCTTCATTTCCTACCCACAGAGGCCAGAATACAAGGGAAGGCGATGGGAAGCTGAATGTTTGGATGTAAAACACAGACAGGAAGCACTGCTGGTTCTCTGGCTTAGACGTGGCCTTTCTGAAATGTGCTCAGGGTGGGCAATGGAAGGCAGCCCTCCTCTCTGCCAAACTGATTTAGAGCACTATTCTGAAATGAGCCTGATAGTTCCAGAGATCAACAGCAACACCCACTCTTCCAGTTTCACACTGTCTGCTCCATCACCTCAGACACTCAGGTGGAAGATAAAACTCCTCATAGAAAGCAGATGCAAATTTGCACTCTTCCTCTAGGAAGAAGTCAGCTAAACCACTCAGCTGTGAAACTCATTCAGCCTTTCCTGGACGAGGTTTTATTAAGATCCATTACTTTCTCCTGCACTGACATTCTTGATGCCTACAGTATCGATGCTGGAGGGATGCCACAGGGCAGATAGATACGTGTCTGCTCTCCTTTCCTGTAGGATCACGATGGAACAGCAGATCCCTGGCTTTATTTTGCAGCCTTGTGATCTCGCTGGCAGTCCCTTCTCTCTGTGTGCAGTGGCTCTGCAGAAGGAAATTTCACTTTGCTAACGAGTGGAGAGGAGGAATCAGCTGGAAATTCATTCCTTCCTTGAGGCTGCTGGGACAAAACCTCCTGTTTCCATCCTAGTGCAATAAGAGGAAACAGTAGATGGCCTCATGCAGGTACGTGGCTCTTGCAGAGCCAGTGTGGCGCTGGTGAGTTGTTACAATGAATAGAAAATTCATTGTGGGATATTCTATTTATAGTTCTATCTAGATGGCATTGCTTAATAAACAAGGACAAATTCTCCAGAAGTGCCTGCTGAAACATGAATCACACATAGTTTGGATTATCCTTGGAAGACGAGATTCATTTCTCTTCTCTGAGCTTCGCATTTATCACATCTCATGCTCAAAACTCTTTTTTAATTAAGAAACAATGCTGTCACCATAGGTTTTTGTGAACTAAAACAACGCAGGGGAAGAAAGGCTGCTTTCCTCATTTCTGCTGCATAGCAATGACTAACAGCATTCAGCAACAACGTCTTTTGAAGAGTGCAGTTGACCACTGCCACCCACCATGCACAGATCAGTTCCCTAGGCTTTATGTTTCTTGAAAATCTCTGACAGCTTTGGACCGGAGGTAAGGTCAGCACTGTGTTCCTTGCCTCAGATGATGAGTTTCTAAGTTTGATTCATGTTGACTTCTACCGAAGGAGAATATAAAACACAACAGTAACTAGCCTGCAAGAAAAAAAATAAAGTAAAACAAATCATTCTTTTCATCTGCTCTGATGCTGGCAATAAACACGGCTGTATCTGTGAAATGCAAATGAGTGGGGGCTTTCACTCACTGACAGCAGACATCACATCACCGGAGAGATGGCCTTGAGATCCCCGCCAGCCGCAGTCACAAGCCATCCCTATGGCAACTGGAGCAGTGGCTTGCATGGAAGAGCAATACTGGCAAAGCTCACTTAATATGCTCTAGCAGCTGACAACACAGCTCCTCGGGAGCAGCCCAGCTTCTGCAGAACATATCAAGGGCTTCTTCCCCACTGGCAACAAGGGCTGCCACTGGGTGACATCTCAGCTGAGCTGTGAGGACATTCCTCTGGGTGGTCCTTCGTTATTCCGACCCAATCCAATTATACCTTCATCTGGCCCACACGTACAGATCTCCTTCCCATAAAAGGTCCAGAGAGAAGTCTGGGACTTGGGCACTGAGCAGGCAGCATACCCAGGATGAGGAGCTGTCTGAAAGCTGCAAAACCCACATTCCTCTGCCCAGGCGTAGCCAAGGGACTGAAACTGCTTCCAATACTTTGTAGCCTACTTCCCGCACCGGAGATGGAGGCCTTTGCTAAGTGCTGAATTGCTCCAGAACTCTGAAGTGCTCACTGAGCTGAAAGGGAGCAGTTACAGGGACAGGCAAAGCAACCAGCATCCATCCTGGCCTTCTCATTGATAGGAGTAAGGCAAATTCAGCTAAGGGAAAAAGCCCTTTAAAAAACAAAACAAAACAAAACAAACCATGAAAACAAACAGCAAGCTGAACTATTTGTAGCTATTCAAAGTAAAGAGGGGAGACTGTGCCTGTTAGCACTCCTCTGTGCTCGCAGAGCATCACAGCCCTGACCTGCAAGGCAGACTGCAGAAGCTCAGCCCATGCTGTGTGAGCAGCAGCAGCAGCAAGGAAGGAGCCCAGAGAACCTTTGGCTGGCCAATAGCGGCCAAGAAGAAAGCACTGAATTAGGTAAGGAGCCCAGACACATTGCAAAAG